GACTTTTAGAACTGTTCATCTAAGCACTTTGACTCATCAAATTCTCTCAATGTGTAAGCCTAAATATAGTCATGTGTGATCTTGTTTGATTTATCTTAACATATAGATTATTAATATATAATTTTTATAATTTTTTAATATACAAATTACAACATAAAATGGATTAAAGAAGTGCATTGGATGGTGTGTAAAAATGAAAGTGAACAAATACAGAGGGACGGAGGGAGTATATGGAAATGTTCTCCAATGCTCATAAATCATTTGGGTATCATTAGTTCATAATTTTAACAACAATTTCAAGATTTGTAATTCTAGTGCGGTGCTTTGACAGAGTTTAAGAGACCGGGACTTAGTGGATTCGGAAATCCTTTAGGAGGAGCCTCGAGGTACTGGAGTAGGGGGTTTCCCGAACCAGTATAAAATCGGTGTGCATTTCATTTAGGCTTTTATTTCTGCGTTTTATATATTGCTTCTGCATTTGCCAACACCGTTTTTATCAAACTTCGAAAAGATTTTAAATGCCTTATTCACCCTCTCTCTAAGACGTGGGCACAACGACTAATACCGAATAACATAATCCTGTCATTCAAAAGTGTGATGATGTGAACATGTATGTGGTACTGTTAGGGAATGCATTAGGGTTTGTTGTTAACGGGCTCATTCTTGTTGGGCTCGTAATTAGGTCATAGTCATGTAGCTATTATAAATAGCGGATCTATGTGTAATCAAATCATTCAAGTTCAAATCTAATTATATTTCAACATGGTATCAGAGCCCACCCTGGGAAAGCCAAAACCCTAGTTTGCTCTAGTAGCTTCCGCTTCCGTCGCCGTCGCCGGTGGTTTGTCCGGCGACGGCGGCATCACCATCAATTTCCATTACCAATCGTTGTGCTTCTGTCTTCTTGCCTTATCAAACCATCATCAGGCCGATTGCATCAAAATCATCTGTTGCCACGCCGCCCAAGAATTGTTCGGCCAGTCTGGGCGAGTTCTCTGCAACTGAATCGGTTGTTGACGACGGTGGTTTCAATCCGTTCGTCCGCAGTAGTTGAGGTCGAGGAGTAATGGTTATTTTTCATGTCATCCACGTCCTTAGTTTTGGCCGCCGAGTTAAAATTGGTCAAACTTATTACAAATACTCCGTATGCACCAACAAGCAGCAACAACCAATGATTTCATCAATTCTTGTTTTTAAGCAGCAAACTCATTTGTTGATATGGTTTCTTTTGTTTGAGAAGTGACCTTCCATTCAGCAGTATGTTTCGCTAGCATGAGTGGATTGGTTTGGTTTGCATTCTTCTAGGAAGAAGGTTTTCATGATCAGCATTTCATGCACCTTTTGATCGACGTTTTGATGACTTTGTTTTTGGTTGTTATTTGGTATGTTCAAGTGCAACCATTTGTATGTTCGACATGTTTGTGAGGTTGGTCGCATAGTCGCGCCTCAGTTCGACATATTTGTTTGTGAGGTTGGTCGCATAGTCGCGCCTCAGTCCGGCAGCATGGCTTCCAAGTTTGGGATGCTTGTTAGTCGTCCCCGTGTCACCGCGTGGGAGTCATTCGTCATCAAAATTTATTGTTCGTTTGCAGGGCCGGTCACATTCGTTCGTTGTTGTCACAGCAGATCAAGTTCAAGTTGTTTATCAAGTTGTTTTTAGTCTTAGTTTTGTTTTAATTGTCCAAGTTGTGCATTCGTTAACCTCATACTCAACTTGAAGGGGAGTGTTAGGGAATGCATTAGGGTTTGTTGTTAACGGGCTCATTCTTGTTGGGCTCGTAATTAGGTCATAGTCATGTAGCTATTATAAATAGCGGATCTATGTGTAATCAAATCATTCAAGTTCAAATCTAATTATATTTCTACAAGGGGGAGTGTTAAGAGTACATCCCACATCGGAAAATCCAAGAGTAAAATAATTGGTATATAAGCTCTAAAGTTGAACTAACTAATCGATTGGATTCAATCTTTTAATACGGTTCAACCCAAGTGTCTTATTGCCCAACCCAGTTGTCCATACTCCATCCTAAATTCTATCATGGTATCAGAGCCAGTTTTAGCCCACCTCATTTGTCAAGGTGTCCGTCTAGACGTTCATTCCTAGCGGCCCGTTAGTCTTTAGCCCAGTTGTCCGTATGGATGTTGTACCCAACGGCCTGTGGCCTGTTTAACACGATTGCTCGTCTGGAAGTCCATACCCAGCGGCTCGTGGTCCTTTAGGTGTTGGCGTTCAAAAAAAAAGTAAAGGGAATGGGAGTTCATTTGCAAGTGGTCAACCGGTTAGATTCAAAATGGCCCGGTTGTCCACTTGAGGGGGAGTGTTAAAAGAGTATCCCACATCGGAACTTGGAGAGAATATAAACCGGTATATAAGCCCTTGAGTTGAATTAACTAATCGATTGGATTCAATCTTTTAATGTGGTTCAGCCCAAGTGTCTTATTACCCAATCCAGTTGTCATACCCAAATCTAAATTCTATCAGGTACTTTCATTCAATTGATAAAAGCCAATAGAATCTCCTTTAAGATAATACACACAGTTGTGGAAAATATTTTATTAAAAGAAAAGTCAAATAGATCCTAGATAGATAAGAGTATACATTTTTGCTTCATCTAAAACAAAAAAAGATGCAAAGAAACTTCTAAGAGTGGATTGTCTACATTTACCACCCATCTTACCCCTAGATAGAGAAGATCGTGTTTAGTAGAACAAAACACTGAGCTCCGCCAAAAGATCGAGCACAGTGAGATAACAAATCGTCCCAGATATAGTTTGAATTAGTACGATCACACTTTTGGCATTTTGATTGGAATATGATCCTATTATCATCAACATATCATAGAGAATCTATACCTCCAACTTAGGAATCTCTGAACACGTACCAATGTTCCACTTGAGGGATCCTAACAAAAAATGCAGACACATAGAGATTGTGACATGTTATCCTAAGAGTGATACTAGAGTTACCAATTCTAATTTACATTTTTAAATGTTAGAACTTTACTCCTATAAATTGGGAGTAAAACATAAAAGATTTATTAACACTCTCAAAGTCTTAAAATGTAATGGGTGGATTTGTGAGATAACTTTTCTATCATTTATTATTCAGGGATGATAAATCAACTGCCATTAATAAGTCATATTTAGCACGTATTCATTTTACAATTTCTAAACAAACAATAACAATGGAAAATAAATAACATACAAAACAAAAATATATATTCTATACAATGTAAATAAAACCTAATTAAATTGTTGAATACATAATCAAAATAGCTAGTTCAACAATTTTGATTTTATTTAAATTGTATAGAATATTTGTTTTCATTTTTTATGTTATTTGTTTTCATTGAAATTGTTTGTTTAGGGTTTGTAAAATGAATGAAATCTCTAGGCGGGATTTATCACGCATTGAATACGATTCTTATTCATGGCAGTTGATTTATCATCCTTAAATAATAAATGCTAGAAAAGTTTACAACTCACAAAACCACCAATTATATTTTAGACTCCGACAATGTTAATAAGTCTTTTATATTTTACTCCTCGTTTCTAGGAGTGAAGTTCTAACATTTAAAAATGTTAGAATTAGAATCGGTAACTCAAATATCACCCTGAGAATCATTTGCCAATATCTTGATGTAGGTGCATTTTTGGTCAAGAACCATCAAGGAGAACATTGGTATGTGTTTAGATATTCTTTAAGTTGGAGATAATAATTTTCTATGGTATGTTGATGATAATGGGATAATCAAAATATGATTAAAAAATATGATATAGTAATTTTTTTATGATTTACTCCCTCTATCCCCTATTTTGATTACAATTTTGTTTTTTCTCTCTTGTTGATATTTTTTGTTTGTTCATGAGTTTTCATTGATTATTTGATAAAATTAAATATTCTTGTCACGTCTTGTTTAGTAAAACTTTTGATATAGTTTTTTAACATGTAAGCTTTATTTTTTAATAATGCAATAATTTCTAAATATAATGATTTCAAAAATCATGAAATTTTACATCGTAATCTCTATTATGTAACTAAAATAGGATTAGAGGAGTCAGGAGTATAAAGTAAAAGTTAAATTTAAACGGACCATAAACATAAAAAATAAAAGATAACGAGTCCAAAGTTAAAAAATAAAATTTTTTCCCATTCATATAATATCGGAATACTAATAACTATAAAAAATTAATGCCAATAGTAATGATAAATATAATAACAACAATAATAATGAGAGAGTTTAAAAATGAATAATAAAATACGAAGTACTCTATACATGGTAAGGTGAAGTAGACAAATACGGAGTACTACATAATTATTTGAGATACGTACTCCGTATATAGTGTTGGACGGTTCGGTCCGTGATAATCGGTTTTAAATATTTGTATCACAGTCCCGTCCCATTTGGTATCGGTTCGGTTTCGGTTTGTGATGAAAAAATTCAATCCCGTTTGAAAATACTATAAACGGTTCCGTACCATTACGGTCCGGTATGGTACCATGCTAGTTCGATTTTTTGCCCACCCCTAGAAAGTATTGGTACAAGTCAACCATTCACTCATGAACCATGCTATACTCACACTAAAAGTTGTACCCCATTTATACATCGCAGTTATACACAAACATTTTGATAGTTTACACCGACACAAGTATTGGTGCATTACCAAAAATTTACACGGACACAAAGTGTTTATGCGTTAACAAAATTTAGTTTTACACGAACACAAAATATCGATACAAACCTGCGATGTACAAATAGGGTACAAAAGTTTGGGATAGAAATAGCTTTATAGTTCACTCATGTTGGTTTGATTCCAAATACGGAGCGTGAAGTACACTTTTAGTCCGGATTGTTTTTACTTAAAATAATTCAAAGCTACCCTATAACTGTAACTTCTCTGAGTTACTACTCCGTAATTTGGGAGTGAGTGAGGCTATTTGATAGGGTCTGGCGTTGGTTTAGACATAAATAGTAAAAGAAAATGAAAACCAAGTCAGAGAATGGCAGATATCGGCCGCATCTTTCCTCTCCGTTCATCTTCCTTCCCAAAACTACCACTGTGATATCTTCTTCTACGCTCTCCTTCACATTATCACTTTGATTCATGAGATTCCACTCTGCTTCTTGCTTCTATAATCTTATCTTTATTGTTATTTATTACTCTGCGTGTTTTTCTTTTTTACAAATGATATTTTTTTCTCGCCATTATGATCGATCTAGTCTCACATTCTCTGGACTTTGATCAGATCTGATTGATTTGATAGTTTATTTGCTGATTGCGTGCGATTCAATTGTTCCGGATCTATAGATCCGATTCTCGATCTGTTTCTATTGACATTACTTCTTAATCTCTGCTTCTTAATCATAGCGTTTGTTATGTGATGAGTTATCTTCTTTCAGTTCATGATGAACAGATCGGACCCTGGAATTCGTCCATGTTGATTCTTGCATCTGCTAACTCTTTTTATTCCAATTGTTTGTGAATTTCGAATTGGATTTCAATGATAAATCGTACTTCATACCGCCCCTGTTTTCTGCATCTAATATCTAATGCGTTTAGTTCAATTCAAATCCATTACTTACATTTTTCTGAGACCAATCTATTACTAACATTGTTTATTACATTCAGTTTTATAATTAAATGTAGATTTTCTTTATTTTATATTCTACTCTAAATTGCTTTACACACACACATACATACATACATACATATATATATATATATATATATATATATAGACACACACACACACACATACATACATATATACATACATACATATATATATATATATATATATATATATATATATATATATATATATCGTGGTAGATTTTAAAATAAAGTTAATATAATGTTCTAAAATTTAAGTAGCATTATTCTTGATGAGCCGACATTTAAATCATTGTGAAATTTTACAGAATTTTACAGTTTGTAAATTATTATTTTTACTCCCTCGGTATCTAAATGAATTATACTGTTACTTTCCTAGTCTCCAAACCCTTTTTCTTTAATACTTGTTTTCATTATCAATTTGATAAAATAAATGATTCTTGTTAAATCTTAATATGGAGATGTAGCTTTTAAATACTCTAGGTTTTATTTTACTTCAATTTCGTAACGGCAAATCTTTTCATGGTTCACTCGTCAGTTCCAGTTATATGGAACCTGCATGTGGATTCCTTAGTATTAGGATTAGGAGATTAAAATTGTTATTAGGATTAAAATTAGCATTATGATTCGAATTAAAATTAGCATTTGCATTAGGCATATTGGCTTGGGTAAAACGAGCCTTTTTTTCACATTACCTTCAAAGTCCAATAATTTTTGAGAGAAGGTCCAAGATTTACGCATGGATGGACCATAGGTGCGTGGAGTCTCCACTCTGTTGGGAGTACTTTGATATACCTAAAGTCCACCAAAATTTTGTGATGCTTATTACATCAAAATTAGTATTTTTAATATTTTTTTTAAAATAAAAACAAAATGCTTATCTTAATGTTATGCAAATGCTTATTAGCCTCGTTTGTTGGTGTTTACCTTAAGTCTATGAATATGCCTAGTGCTTTCGTGTTTCTCTCTTTCTATGTGCAGGTGTAAGTGTATCTGGACTTGCTCTCTCATGTATTCCGTATGTGGGTTACGTATGGGTAATTGTGCGTGAATCTCTTTTTATATACTCCGAATACTCTGTCTCTACCCACACCCCCCCTCTAGTTGGATGATCAAATGACGTAAAATTCCAAACCGCCAACTATATAACACACCAATGGCTAATGCAAAGTTTACCTGGAATTAAAACAGAGTTTACTACTTTGAACACCAGAACTCATATTTTTTCAAACTTTAAAAATTATAAAATTTAATTAAAAAGAATATAGCTACACCAGTCAACCATTGTACGCGGTGACCAAGTAGCAGAGGGTGGCGGTGACCGGTGGCAAGCGGCAGTCAATAGAGGCAGTTAGCGGTCAAAGTCCAGTCAACATTAGTTAAAGTCCACTCCTTTCATTTTTTTTGAAAGAAATGTTGAAAGAAATAGGTGAGCTTTGTAGTTGCTGAACTTTGTAGTTGACAGTGCTGAGTTTTACGTCATTTGATCATTGAGTCATAAGGTGTTGTCTCACTGGAGTCGAACTCGTATATATATAGAGAAGTGTTTACACCATTCCAAATGGTGTAACTCCGTGACACCTACAGTGTTCCTTTCGTAAAATAGATGGTTCCTACCCCTCCTAACTTCCCTCACAAACCCCCACCCCCGACCTCACCCCCTCACGACCGCTCTAGCTTTGCAATTGAAGCACATAAGTTTCTTTGTTATTTGGGTAAAAACTTTGACCGAAAAAGTCAACAAAACTTATGGGGTGCATTGCATAATAACCACACATTTTGTGGGGGGCTTACGGCGGGGTTGGGTTGGGGGTGCAGGGGTGGGGGTGGGCTGGGGGGTTTAGATGGTGGGTTAGGAAGAGTAGGAACCGTCAATTTTACGAATGGAGCACTGGAGGTGCTCTAAAAACGCAGTGGCATCGGAGTGGCACCGTTCTCCGGTGTCACTAGAACCGAGCCGTAATACTAATATGTACTCCGTATTTCAATAGTACGCCTCTGGGTGTGCCTTCCCTTTTTTGGTCTTTTTTATATTTTGCCTTAGGGTTCGTTTGGTTCACGAAATTGATGAAATTCAAATTGAATTGAGAGTTGAAATTCTATTCAATTGATTTAGATGCAATNATATTTTTGGCACTACAAATTCCAAATCCACATATTTTTGTGATATCAAACAACAAAATTGAAATTGTTGTCCCCAATTCCAATTCCATGTTTTGAATTCCGTATACCAAACATATACCAAACAGAGGTTTAGTGTTTCATTTCAGTATTATATTTGATACAGAGAATACAAAGGATCACCGAAGAGAGATCAAATTTCATAAATGACTCTTATTTTGTGTGAGTTTGCCAGGTGAGTGATTTTGTCCCCACTTTTTTGAATGGATTTAGCTATTTGTACCCCAAGATTTCTGCCGCAGGTGTACATCTTCATTTTGTGGTAATGTGATGCTAGGGTGATGGTTTAAATTGGTACAAAATGTTGCGCAAACTTTTATTATCGTACTAGTATTTTGTGCCATCGTGAACTATCGAAATGTTAGTGAATATCTTTAGTGTCACTTTGAGGGAAGGTACGTTTTTTTTATGTAATTGTAGCATGTTTGTTTTTTTAATTTACTTATTTACTTGTCTATAATGCTAAGGTTTTATTTTGCATTCAACAGACAAGTGAAAAATGCCAAGGCTGCGAGATATGCAATGCTTTCACTTGGCGTCTAACAAAATTTCCAGGTATTAATTCATTTTTTTACCAAATCATTTACTCCGTTTAAAACTTCTCCTAACTTTTTGTCAATGATTTCAAGTGACTAGTCTCTTATTTAGATATTTTTACAAAAAATACTGCAATAAAAAATTTATAAGGCAAAAACTATTTATAAATATCCTTGGTTTGCATGACATTGAGAACCAATGTCAAGGGATGACCCGGCGCCGCTCCATTGCCCGTTCGTAAAATTAACGGTTCCTACCCCCCGTAAACCCCCTATCCCATCCTGACCCGAACACACCCCCCACTTCCTTCAATTGCACCCCACAAGTTGATTTTGACTTTGGAGTCAAAATTTGACTTCAAAGTCAAAATCAACTTGTGTGGTGCAATTGAAGGGGTGTGTTTGGGTAGGGGCCTGGGTGGGGGATTTACCGGGGGTTAAGCGTCAATTTTACGAACAGGATACCAGAGCGGCCCCGGGTCATCCCATGACATTAGTTCCCAATGTCATGTGTCCAAATAAATAATAAGTCAAGAAGTACTTACACAAAAACATTGATTTAGAAAAGATCTCAACAGTGTATAAAAGAGTAAAATAGATTTTTCCGTAACCTTAGTATTTGTGAATTTACAATGATAAAGTATCCAATGCAACAACGAAAAGGACAAGTATAATATTAGGAGCCTCTTATTTTTACCACAAAAAAATGCAACATTTTTACAAAAATACAATGTGAATATCTATGGTATTCTATTTTTAAAATTGATTGTTTTTACCTTCCTAATTCTTTGGTAGTCTCTAAGTCCAGCCCGACCCTACCCGATCCGACCCTAACACATTTTCATCCATTACACTACTTTTTATTTTGTTGATTGTGGCCCGTTTTTTTACCAAATGAAAAATGATGCAATTGAAGTGGGAGGGTGTATTAGAATGGAGTGGGGGACTTGGACTGGATTTATTTTTCCCATGGTGTACCCTAACACTATGTCTAATTCACGGAATTTGTGAGGTAAAAGAAAAGAAAATGAGAAAGAAAATATTTTTTTTGTTTGGTTAGAGAGGAAAATAAAGAAAAGTGCAAAGAAAAGAAAATCAGAAGACAAAATATACCAAAAGAAAGATAAACCAAAGTCCTCTCATTTTGGTGGGGAAAATGAGGAAGAACACTTTTCTTTACTTTTACTTCAAATTTCTTGAACCAAACAAGTCTAAATGTACCCCAAGCATTTTGAACCACAAATATTTATTATTATTATTATTTTCTTTTTTCTTACCCTACGAAATACGAAGTACCCCGGAGTATATGGTATAAAATGTTGGGGTACACCACATGTACACCAACCATTTTTCTTTTGTAACACAGAGTAATATTTTTCTATTACTTACGGAGTATATATTATCAAACGTAAAAAATTAAAATTAAAAGTTTATAGAAAAATTTAGAACGGTCTTTTCGGATTCAATCGCACTTTTTTTGTTGTTGTATAAAATACTCCGTACCTAAACGAAATACTCCGTATTAGAATTGATCAATTGAGTCGATATTTACTTTGGGGCAGTCGTGTTGTCCCATCCAAGTCACGTCATCATCATTCTCCACTTTTTATGCATTAGACCAAAAAACTTGTAATATTACAATATTCATTACGGAGTACGGAGTATTTTTTATTTAAAAATATATATAAGTTTAATAAAATATAATTCTTTCAATTAAAGTAAATAAATTAAAATAAAGTAATAAAAATGAATTATAACAAAATAGTAAAAAATAAAAAACAAAAAGTATTTGTAATAAAGAATGATACAAAGTAATAACAATAATGATAGTGATTTTGTTATTTTTTGCTCTATTTATTTTATGAAATATAAACTATCTTTCATCTACATTTATTAGATTATAATTATTGATTTATTTATTTTTTATGTTTATTTAAATTCACGTTTCATTTTTCCAAGATAGACACTTTTTACACAGGCCTTATTTGGCAACAACATTGTCTCAATTAATGCTAGTGTTTTAGATAAAATCTTAATGATATAGATTTGTTTTGAAAATGCCAGTTTCCGTTAGGTTGTCTTTTTAAAACGTTAACTTCTAATGCTGATGCTAAATGAGGTTGTAAAGTAGTACAAATATAATTTTTTGACGGGGTGTTTCTCATGACATTGCCGGGCAATGTTATGGGATGATCCGGAGGCGTCCGGTGCTCCATTCGTAAAATTGACAGTTCCTATCCACCGTAAACCCCTATCCCACCTTGACCCGAACACACCCCCCACTTATATTTCGAGATTGAGATTGGTAAAGAGTAACAAGTCTCTTTGTTAAAATCCAATATTGAATTGGAAAAATTATTACAGTACCAGTACAAGCATGCTCTTTTCTAGTTCCTACGTCTATATTTTAGATAAAGTTTTCACATATTGATGATTTTTTAATCTATTTTTTTGTAGATATTGCATCCAACACTTAAAGAAAAAAATGGAGTCCTCAAAGAGGGAACAGGCTGAATTTTACTATCCATTCCTCAAAATTGGATCTAAACAATATACTCTCCCTGCTCCCCAACGCCCCTACTATCCCTTCTTCCCCAAATTCTTCAAGTTCTTCTAAGTTTATATATGTGAGAGGGTAATGTGTTAGTTTATAAATTCATTTAGATCTACACATTGTGAGAGAATGATGTCTTAGATCCCTGAGCTTTTCATCTCAACAACTTCTTAGATCCACACTCCCTCATTAGCAACTCTCAATTTTAAGAGGTATGTATGTTATTATTTGAGCTAATGATTATTTTGACCATCAAAATTAAAGAAAAGTAGTACGTATTCAAACAACTTAATTATGTTAGGTGATATTCAAAACTTATCTTTAATTACTTCATATAACATTTGCATTATGTAAGTTGTTATTTAGCTCACCACACAAAGCTCATCACGAAACAGTAATGCGAAAAAAAAAATCAGTTGACTATTTTTTTCAAAATGCAGTGAGTTTATTTGTGTTGCAAAGTAAATGGTACTCTTAAAGCTTGAAATAAATGATAATAATTGATATGCTGTTTTTGTTTCTTCATTTTATTGCCTCTCTTTAAATCTAGAAAATTGCTGTCGGGTACCTTAGGTTTTGTGTTAAGAACTACCAGGTCCTACAATTTTTTCAAAATATACTCTCCGAGTACCTAAATTATCAAATAAATGTCCAATGAGGGACATTCCATCCAAAGTCCCGTTAAGCATACGAGCTCCGTTCATTTTAATCGAAAAATCCAGTGAAATTCCCTCTTTAGCCTTGCGTTCTACTCTTCGTGGCTTCTAGGTCTTGCGTAGGTAAGTGAATCTACTCCACTTCTTAGTCTTGTGTAGGTTATCAAATCTACTCCTCCATGTTCGTGGTCTTTGTGTTTGTGGTTTCTGGTAAAATTATGAGATTTTGCTTTTTCCTGATTGGATTTTTACACAGCTTTAAGGATGCAAGAATTGAACTAAACAGTCCCCAAAAACCCAGCCTTGCTTCATGCTTGTTTTGGTTTCAGTTGAAACATGAAAATCAGCTTTGAAAAATTGAAAAACATCCTCCAAAATGCAGAAATCATCCCCTAAAACATGTAGAAACCAGCTTCAAAAAATGCAGAAACTAGCCCACAAAAAACATGAAGAAACCAGCCCCCAAAAAATGAAAAAACCAGCCCCCAAAAATGCAGAAACCAGCCCCTAAAACATGCAGAAACGAGCCCCCAATTGGAGAAGATGCAGTCAGCACAAACGTGAAAAAGGGCTTTATTGGGAAATAGAGAGGGGCAGTTCAGACATTTCGATATAGCTAACGGGTTTTGGATGGAATGTCCCTCATTGGACATTTATTTGATAATTTAGGTACCCTGAGAGTATATTTTGAGAAATACTAGGACCTGGTAGTTCTTACCACAAAACCTAGGGTACCCGGCAGCAATTTTTTGCTTTAAATCTGTGTAGTTATATCAATTTAATACATAATCAACATAACTAGTTCAACAACTTTAATTTTTTTTACATTGTATAGAATATATGCTTTCATTTTGTAAGTTATTTATTTTCTATGGTTATTGTTTGTTTAGGGTTTGCAAAATGGATGAAATTCCAGAGTTGGACTTATCACTTGTTGAGTATGATCCTTATTCATGGCGGTCTATTTATCCTCCTTGGATAATTAATACTAGAATTATTTTCAACTCACCAAATCACCAATTATATTTTTTTGACTCTGATGGTGTTAATAAATCTTTTTATGTTTTACCCCCGTTCCTCAAAGTAATGTTCTAACATTTAAAAATGCTAGAATTAGAACGGGTAACTCTAGCATCACCCTCCGAATCAACTGCCACAATCTCTATGTGTGTGGTTTTTTGGTTAGCACCCCTCAAGGGGAACATTGGTATGTGTATAGAGATTCTGAAGTTGGAGATATAGGTCCTCGAACCTATATGGATACAAGCGATAGCTATACAGAACTTGTTCCTAAGACAAAGCAGCATCGTAATGCGCCTACACCTACAAGAGAGAGTATTCCGTTGGGTAGGGATGCAATGATCGGAGCGGTAGATTCAATTGCGCCTCCATGGGATGTTGATGATAATGGGATTGCGATCATATCCCAATCAAAAGCCAAAAGTGCGGTCGTGCTCATTCAGATGATATCAGAGGCGATTCGTTTTCATACTGTGCTCGATACTTTGGCAGGGCTTGATGTTTTCCGTTCTACTCAACCCAACCTTCACCCCCAAATTTGGGTTGATCAGAATAGATGGTCCCGAATTGGCAAAGATATATTTGAACAATTAAGGACATTACATGGGAATGAAGAAGACATACCTACAGATAAAAGATTGACAGTACTTGAAAAGCTCATGAAAAATCATGAACTTGTTTCTATGATTATGAGGTATTTTTATTTCAGTTCATACTCTATAGCTAATTTTTATCTTAATTAGTTTGTTTTAATGAGTATTATTATAATCTATGTTGATTGAATATGAGGGAGTGTTTGTTTTAGATCATTTACAGGCTTGCGGCATATCATTGTACAAGTTGGAGTTTGGGACTTTATTTTTGCTTTGCATGCTATGCATTCTTCTATTGGAGCTTTATCATTTTTCTTTTAATGATGTTTTCTCCTTTGCCTCCCTTTTATCAATCACTGTCTTCTTTTTTAATTTTTTGTACTATAATTTATTTTGTTTTTGATTTACTTTGCTTGAATTGCAGTGAGAAAGATCAATCTTCTGGGCATGCATCTTCTAGCTCTTCATTTTCAAGGAAGAACAAAGAAGCTAAGGAGAAGGGCGAGTCATGTGGCTTAAAGGAGTGGAAGAGTAAAAGCTCTAAACAATCTAAGTCTCCATTTTCAAGAAATGTGGGGGGCAAGATGAGTAGTAGAGGTAGACAATCTAGGCTTGGCAGTTTCTTTGCATCTTTATTTTGTTTTAGATGAAGCAGACTAGGAATGTGTACAAACTCTAATTATATGATCTCTTTGACTTTTCTTTTAATTATGTATTTTCCACAAGTTTGTGTATTAACTTAAAGGAGCTGAGTTTCCAATGGCTTCATCACTTGAATTGAATGAGAGGATCATATGACCATTATCAGGTTCACCTTACATCACACCATTATATGACAAAATCCCATCAAAGGAGTTCAAAATGGTGGAAAACTTAATGATTTTGCAAATGATTATTTTTGAAAAGAAATTATGCACCAATTTGAAAAATAATTATTTTATTTTTAGAAATGTGACTTCAATATTTAAATTCTCATATTTATTACATTTATTTATTTATCATCCTTTATTTATTGATTTTTAATATTGATGAGTAGGGGTAAGGTGTGAATACACATATCCCAAGATCATAGTTTTGTGTGATCTGCCCCAACGTTCATATTTTGCATTGTGTTACGGAGTATGTTGTTTGGCTGAAGTTATTTTCAAATTATTTTATATGAAAATAGCAGTGAATTAAATAAATAATATTGTATATTTAAAAATTATATCAAAAGATTTTTAAACAAGATTACATTATTTTATCAAATTGACATAAAAATAAATTAATAAAATGAATAAAATTTGACTCAATTAATAATGAATGAAAAGATTAATTTTGGAGGAAGGAAGCAAGGAGTAAAAGATACGGAGTATGAGACAAATGGATAAATACACGGCACATCTTGGGAGATATCGAACAAGTGAGTACGGAGTAAGTAATAAGCAAAGTCAATCTTGAGAATTAAGGGCTCCGGAGTGGACGATCCAAGACAACGGGGCTTTAGTCCGCTTTTCATTCAACTAATATTTAATCGTGCAATGCATGTGGTCGAACACATACTCCCTCCGACCCACAAAAAAGTTCTCATTTTGACCATAAATTGGTCAAATTGTTGCATATTTTGACCTTAAATTAAATATAATCTAAATAAAGAAATGCTAAAAAAATTTGAGATATCAAAACTAGATCCTAAGATGAATCCAATTATATAAAATTTATTCCATAATTCAATATACATTTCTCACAATTTGTAGTCAAAGCATGTAAATATTTGACTAAATACTATTCAAAATGAGAACTTTTTTGTGGGACGGAGGGAGTATTATTTTTAACTCTGTTAAATTTTCAGTTTTAGTAAATGGTTAAAAATATAGCTAAGCATAATATACTATGTTAGAATTATAACGAATGATACGATTGTAGAATTACTACCTTCGGTGAAATCAACGATACATGATATAGAAGAGAGATCATTGAATCTCTGTCTTTTATGCATTTGTAATTGTGCCAAAGTTGTTGCATCATTGTTCTTCGGTGTCCTTGATATACAAATTGACGATTGCACTTGGTGCGAAGCAAACAGTAAGAATTAAAAAATAAGATGTCAATCTGCTCGGTTATATTATTTATTTCATTTGTATGATTTAATATATGCCATGCACAGACATATTTTTAATGCATAAAGAAATATATAGATACCATTTGTCACATCCCAGTAGATTTATTTTTGACGTTGATCTAGATTTTGACATTGATGACAATTTGTCAACCTCTGCAATAGAACCTACAAAAGCTAAAAGCAGAAAAAAATATTTATTCACATAATACTGAGTGAAACACTCCTCCGTCCCTAATATTTGCCACACTTGTATTCCCGAGGTAAATATTAAGTTTTTTCAATTTATTTTATTTACATATTGGTATAGAAATAAAAAATATCCCGAGTAAAATTTACATATCAAAAAACTACATGAAAAGTTCTTCGTAATAAGAGGTGTCAAGAATATTTTATTTTATCAAATAACCACTGAAAACGAGAAATAAACAAAAATTCCCGCGACTGCTGAAAAAGCAAACATTGCAAATAATTTGGGACGGAGGGAGTATATGTTTAAAATCGATTTCAGATAAAATACTATGGTAAATTAACGTTTTGCACTCTTCTTTGTTGAAGTATATTTTTTCTGTCGTGTTCTTGCTTCTTTCGTCAAAATCCATTTATCTTTTCTTTGGATATGCGTCACTATTATCCAAATTTGTACACAAATTAATTCATTTCAATAAGTTGAGTATTTAAAATTAAAAAAATATCAAAAATCATGACAAATCTTTAGAAAAAAGAACGAGATAAAATGTTTAGTTTAAGATAACGCAGAAAAGAACCAGATAAAAAGAACCCTTTTGAGTATTACACTTGAATAATCATTTTCTTATACATTTTATTAGTACATACCTATAAATTGTGACTCTCGAGAGATAGGAAACCAAATTGATGAATCTACTGCATTTGTTTGATCAGAAGAATGTTGTGCGTCAAAATCTATAATGAAAAAAAATAAAATATAGTATTATGAATTAACAGAGACAAAAAAAAGTATTGTAGGTATTCATTTCAATATAGTAATAAAAATATATTGACCATTGTTATTTTTACCTTCGTTGAAATTAATGGCACGTGAAATACAGGACATATCAATGTTTCTCTGTCTCTTATGGGTTTGAAGTTGCACTAACGATGCACGGTAAGAATATTACACATACTCCGTATAATAATAAGAAAAATATATACTCTTAGTCCTAAAAACTCTCTCACATTAGACCTTTTTGGTCAAACATGCAATTTTTATCACAAATTTTAAGAAAAATATATTTAATCATAATATAAGTTCAATATAATTGGATTAATCTTAGAATATAATTTTGGTATATCAAATTTTTTATGATTTATTTATTTGGAATATGTTTAGGGGGGTGTATTCAATTCAGATTTTTAAAGATTCTGAGAAATTATTTTGAATCCATGGATTCTGTAAAGTCAATGGATTATTTAAGATCTATGCAGATAAAGCAATCCACTAAAAGTCCACATGAACAAAATCATATACTGGTTCTAAACCATTATTATTTTATTGTTTCAACTTGGGCCAAATAGGTAACAAAAATACCTGTACAAAATCATATACTCGCTCTAAATCGTATTTTTCTATTTCTTCAACAAAATAGATTGTTGAAAAAGTACCAGTTTTTTGAGAAGAACATGGATGTTTTTGGATCTGTGACGTTCTTCATGTAAATCATTGCTCCATGGTATGTGTGTCGAAGGAGGATGGCCATTGATGTTCCTCCTCTGTCGCCTCTGCTCGTTGTTGTGCCGTGTGCTAGGGTTTTGAACCTTACAGTTGGTCGTGCACTCTCCTCGCACAATCTGCTTGAGTGGTAGGATGGTGGACGCGAATGAAATTGATTAGTGAAATATTAAGAGGTTGGGGCTGTTTTTAACACAGAGTATCCGTTTTTAATATTGTGATGCATGAAGCCTAGAACTGATGTTTGAAGTCGTGAAATACTCAGAACGTGTGAAACTGTTCCTGCCACAAAAAACATCTTGCTCGTGTATATAGGAGAGATATGAAATTGAAGACTTAGGATGATCTAAATCGTGATACATTCAAAATGGTGAAGCAAAATATACATTTTTCAGAATACTATCATCTCCTATCAAAACAACCTTGACCAAAGCCAAAATCATTAGTTTTTGCTCCATGAATACATATAAACCCAAAGTCATTTTAAATCAAACAAAACATGAACTAAATTGTCAATAAAACATATTTTAAAAAATGAATATAACTTCATAAAATTGGAAGAGTAGGTAAAAACATAGAAAATTGAAAACATATTAAAGGTTATTCACCTGTCATTCTTTTTGGCACTTCTTCCCTTTGTCTTCTTTCTTTTTTTTGCATATTGACCAAGTATTTTCCCGATTGCCTCAACTCTAGTGAGCAACAACTAATTATGAAATAACAATACAAATTTGTTACTCGTGTTACAAGATTCCCAAAGCAAGTAACACAAAATCAAGTAAACACATGCAGGAAGTGGTAAGATATTATAATACGGCAGTGTCTGCAGTTACTTAAACAGGTAGCAAGTATGATTTTATAATCATGCACTAAGTCAGGATTGATTTTTCAATAAATAGTTTCCAAGATTATTTTTGTATAAACAGGAAGCATCTATTTCTTGTATAAACATGCAGCAACTATGTTCTTATTGGCCTGTTAAGCTTGTTTTTCTGAGTGTGTAAGTTTGTAAAAAAATATATATACATCTTTTAAACACTGTTTGGACAGCATTTAGCTTGAAACAATACATTGACATTTTAGATACTAACAGATATAAATTCAATTAACACCGTGGTTCAATTAACGTCATACATGGATTAAAAAAACTCATTTTGTAATCTGTGCAACAGTGTTTCAAGAACATGAACCTAAGCATTGAACCGCAGGGTTAAACCAACTCTATATGATTTTAGCTTTCTAGTATGTTAAATATTGCTTGCTAATTGACTTTTTGTCTCAGAATTCTATGAAACTATAATCCACAGGCAACAAATAAGACCACACTAACAGTATATCAAATTTTATATTAAACTAAAATACACATGAGTCAAACTCTCAGAAATGAAAGAAACTATAATCCACAGGCAACAAATAAGACCACACTATCCGTATATCAGCAATATGCTAATTTAACTAAAAATCTTGGGGAAACAATCACATTAAGAGTGAATCATATTAGTATTATTAGATCTAAGAATGCTCATCTGAAACCTGTAATAGAATCGTCAATAAAAGAAACTATAAACTCAAACTTTCTTATGATTTCCCCACAAAATGTGAATTAACAAAACTCATTTTGTAATCTGTGCAACAGTGGTTGTAATATGTGGTTCAATTAACATCATACATGGAAACAACTACTCCATTCAAGATATTATCCAATAATAGGCATAATGTAATTGATGAGAAAGAATATAGGTGAATTACGATACTTTTACTTACATGTTACGTTCAATCAATATCATATTGCCCTATAATCATCTCAACTACATCGTTGAAAATTATGAACCTCGTACACTAAGAGTCATCCTTAACCTCTATCGCGAGTCAATATTCTAAAAGCCAAAATATATGTGTACTTAGCATGTTAGTAGTTAGCAATATCTTTTTCATTTTTAAAATAGGTTTTAAAAATATCAACCATGGCTATAAAGCTTGTAGTTCATGTTTTTTGGACACAACTTTTAGAGCACCTCTTTTGCAGTTTATTTTCCAAAAAAAATCTTATTTGCCTTGTTTTAAAAATAAATACTCCGTATCAGACATAATAAGAGTATAAACGCACTTAAAATGTATAATAAGTATATAAAACACTTCAAATTTAAAATTGAAAGTGAGCTATAGATCTCAAAAATACAGAAGGCCTAATATAAGAGTTTGAAAAAGTGTGAAACATGTACTCCCGGCCTAATTTAACTGCTTCGAAGAATACACATTGATATGAAGGGTAGAATCGGGGAAGAATACAAATTAAAGATGAAGTTAGGAAACAAACCAATTCCAAACGAATGAATAGAATTGGGTGCTAATTTCAAGCGTATTTTGTTCGAACAAATCAATCGAAATACCAATTTTAAACCCCAAGAATTAGGGGAAAAACAAATCAATCAAAACTTACCAATTGCGATGCTGTGTTTTTTTGGATTCCGAGATGGCTTCATCAGCGTAGAAGGAAAGATCGATCTTGTGCTTTTTGGCGTCAAAGAAAGATCCGAAGCTATGACAATCGTGTGCTTTTTTGGCGCAGAAGGAAAGATCCGAAATTACTGCTATCCTGAGTTTATTTGCATCGGCGAAGAAGGAAGGTTTTTTTTTTGGCGCAGCGTAGAAGGAAACTTTGCTAAATGTGGTCTTCCTCATCTCCTACTCTGCTTTATATATATAAAGGATTTATTTTTTTACTTTTTACTTATTCTTATTATAATCAAATTCAGATCATAAACAACTTTAATTATAACTCTAATTAAATTAGATCAAAACAGATCAGACCAAATCAGATCAGGCAAATAGAACACAACCTTAGTCAGTTAGTCCTAACAAATTAAAGAATATGGAAAATAAAGAATCTTTTAATACAACCCTTTAACTATTACTCCGTAATACCTTTATTTAAATAAAAATAGAATACTACGTATATTGTTGGACAATGTGCTATATCATGAATATATATTTTTGCAATGATTTTTGCCCATTGTCTTTTAGGTTTTGATAATGACAAACGGGTGACAAAACATCATCATCATATTGTGCATCAATGCTAAAAATCAAAACTACAACAAGTTCATATCCGTCCGTGAAGAAGGGACTTGAGCATCGGTGGAAGGAACGAGACCAAAGAGGTTGTTTCCTTAGTTGGGTAGTGTTATAGGTCTTAGATTTTGTGTTAAAGAGTATGGCATCTCTAAGTTTCATTTCCTTATCATCCTACCTTTAAAACACATTTTTTCAGCAAACTGTTCGAATAAATTGAAAACTATTCGAATAAATCCCTGAACTTCTATTCTGACTTAGTTGAATAAATCCAGAACTAGTTGAATAAGTCAGATTGCAGTTTCACCAAAACTAGTCGACTAAGTCTTGATTTAGTTGAATAGTTTGACAGTTTCAACTACCAAACGGCTAGTTTTTTTAATGCTTTTCATCTCTATCCACTCCCTAACTTCTATAAATTATCTACTTTCGTGATTATCTTCATAAGAGCACTTAGAACACTTTGAAAAACATATCCTTTGAATATCCAAAGAGATTCTACTCAATCCCCTCCTTATATCCAAGCAAGGCAATTGTTTTGATTGCTAAATCATTTCTTGCTTGAGTTTTTCCTCATTGCTTGAGTCTTTGAGAGATATTGCCATATTCTAAAGGACTTCATTGTATTTGCAACAATCTACTCCGTGTTGGGAGAATTACTCGGTTGCGGTTTGTTTTCTTACTTTATTGTAAGGGATTTGTATTCTTGGTGTTGGGATTACACCAAGTGGTAGAAATCCTAACGGTTTTGTGAAATCAAATGTTAGGTGGAAGAAATCCTGAGTTTTGTGAAATCAAAACTTCGGTGGTAAGATAAGAGTCTTGTGAAATCAAGTTCTCGAGTTGTATTCGGATTGTCAAACTACGTTAAGTTTGACGGGTTAGTGAAGGCCTGGGCGCGATTGCTTCGGGGACTGGATGTAGGCATTTAGGCCGAACCAGTATATATCGTGTGTGCATTGCTCTTATCCTTCACTTTATTTTGTTTGTGGTGCATTGATTTTATTGAATATTCGTGAAAAACGTTTCCACGCAAAAAACTGATCTTTTGGACAACACCTCTATTCACCCCCCCTCTAGAGGTGTGCGAGGCGTCTAACATATATAAGTATGATATTTCAAAGCTAAATTTTAAAATGAATCTCTTAGTACTGAATTTATATCATAATTCAATGTATATTTTTTATGTATAATTTCTCATCAAAGTTTTAAAATATTGACTCAAAACAAGAAAAAACGATGTGAGACAAGTAACATACTCTTATAAACAAAACAAAATTGGCGGCAAGGTTCGTTGATATTGGCATCCAGTATAAACGGATGACACTCGCGTATTTCAAACACCTCCAGTGTTCCAAATGAAAAGTTGTTAGCTTCCTCAATAAGGTAATGCTTTATAAGTTAGCCGTAAATGTAATTTTTGGGAATTAGCATATCCCTTGGAAATTCTAAAGTTGTTAGCTTCCTCAATAAGGTAATGCTTTACGGAGTATAAGTTAGCCGTAAATGTAATTTTTGGGAATTAGCATATCCCTTGGAAATTCTATTTGCCAAATTCTAGTGGCCCCAAACTCAGCACAAAAGATAAATAGGGAGTAAAAATCAGCCAGACTCTACAAGTTTCATAGAGGATGTTGCAACAAAAAGAGCTTTGATGGACACTATAATTAGAAGTCAACAGCAAAAATTCTTGTTTCCTTCCTTTCACACTTGAAGCAGAGTTTCCACACTTGTAGCAAAATCTTGTGTCCTTCCTTTCACACTTGAAACAGAGTTTTCATGCCATCATCCACTAGCAAGACTTATATATATTACGGAGTACTTTGCAATGAAGCAGATGAGCCCTGTTCAGCTTCCATTCAACTCATGATACCAAGCACAAAATGCAGATATGAGGTTGAGACAAAAATACATGCATTAGCCCCCAAAAAAACATATAACCGAAATGCCAGCGTTGTTTTGAACCTCCATGCTCCACATTTCATGCTTGATATTACAGAGCTAGAATGAAAAGAGTTATCTCATTACATCAATGTATGCATACACATTAACGAGAAGTAATTGAATATTGATGAAATTACCTCAAAAAACATATGGTTTTTCCCTCAAGGCCCTCAAACACCAAATGTTCCGGTTTGTATCAAGCCGAAGAAATGAAGCTTGGAATTCTCTCTCCAACCCGGAATCAGTCTCAGTTGCCACAAATGTAATGAAGTATATAGTACCCGAAGGTTGGTGACTTCTTTCACCGACGCTTAGCTTGGAGAGTGATTCAAACTTAAAAGTTTTTCCCATCTATAATAAGCAAACAATGTTAAAATTAAAGACACCATGAATCATGAATGATAACTAAATACTATATACTCGGTGGGGTTCTAGTGACACCGGATTACGGAGACACTCCGGTGCCACTATTATTTTGGAGCATTTCCGGTGCTCCGTTCGTAAAATTGACGGTTTTTATCCCATCTAATCCACCCCTAAACCCCCCACCCTACCCCCGCCCCTGCACTCCCACCCCACCCCGCCGTAAGCCCCCACAAAATATGTGGCTATTATGCATTGCACCGCTAGTGTCACCAAATGTGGGTGTCACTAGAACCGACCCCACTGATATATACTCCAGATATTAGTAATCACTGATTATTGAAAAAAACAAAAATAACCTTGTTTTCTTTATTGAAAAACACAATGGCTATTTTGGCACCATAACTAGCTTTCCAGAAATCGTTTGAGAGTAGTTCATACGTCAACGAATGGCCCATCTAAAGAAAAGAAAATAATCAAACAATCACTTGTAAAAATGATTCTTCAAGCGTTATATGTGTGTGTGTATTAAATGAATTAATAAAGTCACTACCTTTAGCATAAAGGATCTGCTTCGGGAACGGGGATCCTCCCCAGGCTTGAAATAATCTCTAGGTAGTCTGTAAAAGTCGTCATCGAAATAGTAATAAAAACAAGCCCAATTCTGTTTGCCATACTTGGAGAAGGATTTGGTCTCCCATACATCTCCATCCCCAACCTGAAAAAGTCTTGTCCAGTCTTCCCAGTCCTCGTCGCCCATGTTCCCCTCTTCTTCAACGGTGATTGGTTCCTTACCTTTGTTTGCAAGACGGAGATCCTTCTCCTCGTCCTCCTCCTCGTCCTCGTCCCCTTCCACGTCCTCCTCCTCGTCCTCCTCCATGTTTCCCTCATCTTCAAAACAGACATCCTTCTCAGCAGAGATCATTTCGTCTTTGTCCTCACCCACGCCGGAATCGAAACTGCAATAGAGCCGCCGCTTAATCGGAGGAGACGGGGAAGACCATCCGCACGTTCTCCTCGCCATCGCCGTCTTTGTTGAAACCCTTGATCTGATTTTGGTGGATTTACCGACAACTTGTAGTGCGGAGGCGTAGAGGGAACGATTTGGGATTGTTGGACTTTTATACTCCGTAGGAATTACGGCTGCACCTGGCAATTTGGTAGTTAGGTTACTGTTGAGGTATGATGCTAGGCATACACAAAAGTTTATTCCAAATTTACACCCCTCATTCTTCTAACAATCATTTTTATTTATTTACGGAGTATTATTTACTTTATTTGCTAATATATGTGGCATTGGAGGGGTGGTGTACATTTGGGGGATCCTAGCATTTTTCATTTTCAATTGTTTAGGGTCGGTTCGATTCTGTTCAATTTCATAGTTCAATTTGGTTTGATCTTTTCTCGGTTTTGGTTTGAGTTTATTTCGGTTCTAGTTTATATCGGTTTGAGTTTATACGGATTCAGGATTTTATCGATTCAATTTTATATCATTTTTAGATGAGATCATTTGATATTTGTTGGATGTATTCCACCCCGAACTGGTCAAAGAAGGCTTCCAAATATTCAACCGGTCAAGGTCGACTTTTCAGAATAGGAGGCCTAAAACAACAGTAAAAGGGTAATTAGTTGACCGAAGATTTGACTGGTAAACTTCGGAAAGTCCTACCGGTCAATCTATTTTATTTCTTCATTCGTCTCCAATTTCAATAAATTCATCCCTCAGGAATCACACGGTATGATCTCTAGGGTTGGAAAGTGTCGGTAAGAAAGAATCTAAAGAAAATTGCACTGTAGCGGCCAAATGCAACGAGAAATCATGGGAGATATTCTGACAATCAATCCAACGTGCTAAGTGACAAAGGAGTCACATTCCTTACTAGATGACAAGGTCACTAGAAGAAAGAGGCAATCACCTCGCACCAAGGAACGTGCCCTGACGTTGATGTGCGGCGCCATGTCTCCTCCAGCATACTATAAATGCCGTTGTAACCCTCAAAGAGGGGGATCCGATTTCTTCCCATTAAAATTCCCGTGAAAAAGCTTCCATGCACTGTACTATATTTGAATATTAATTGGGCTACAGGTGCTTCCATCTACAGTCATCCCGGTTAATTTGTGTGATTTACCTTTTACCTTCCTGAATATAGTAAACAATCCTAGATCCGGTCTAATACTGTTTACCCGGTTAGATAATTTACACCATCAATATTAGATTTCCTAATGTTAGCTTTGTGTGTGGTGTGGCTTCCCGCTTCCCCTTCATGTGTGTATATGAAGTATATATATACACACGTAAGTAATAATGAGTCAGTATATCTATTAGTGTGCATTACGATATAACTATAAATTGTATATACTGTGTATTAAAACAGACAAGCACTTTAGTTTAAGTGATAAAATATGGAATAAAAAATTTATACATGAAATTAGTTGCACCTATAATTTAAATATGTTTTTTTGATAAAGACATCAACCAATGAGCTATGGGGATTGACTGAATTTGAGTTGAATTTTTTTTGAATTTGATCAATACTCGATCTAATCGATTTCATGTCTAATTCGTTTTGGCTCTAACCCGTTCGGGGTCAATCGAGTTTGCATCTAAATCTAGTTTGAATACATTCGGTTCAGTTTCAGTTCCGTTCAGATTTAATTCGATCTGATCTGATGTTATTGAATTTAAATTTTATTTAAATTAAAAACTCATAATCATTACAAGAAATTTAATAATTATAAAGTATTACAAATCACTCACTCACACACACACACACACACACAGATATATATATAGGGGTTGGATCAGGTGAGAATGCACCTTGGTGAAAGAAATAAGAATAAAATCTAGCCTTTGAATATGATGCATCGTGCGGTTCAGATTGCATCCTGCGCTCAGATTTTGAGATAGTGCATTTTCAAAGATTTTTGGTGCATTTTGACATGATGCATTTTCAGACCATTTTGGTGCACCGAATTTTGATGCAATCCTGATCCTTAGATCTCACAATCTAAAGCACCAGTTTCATTCTTATTTCTTTCATAAGATTGCATTCTCACCTGAACCAAAATCTATATATATATATATATATATATATATATATATATATATATCTCCTTTTAATATATAAACATAGGATAGAGTTAGGTACCCATTAATTTTTTGGCTTTTTTCCATCCAAAATAGTTGTACTCTTAGGCTTTAGGGTTGTACTATACCATATACTCTTCCCACTATGCCCCCACCATTAGAAACTCCGTTACTAATTCTAAATAGCTCATGCGTATCCAACCAAACGCAACCTCAGAGAGTTACACAACCTCAGAGAGTTATTGCGCTTAATATCACATCAATTCATCCGATTAAGGAGTAAATGATTGAAATGGCGTTCCAATTTCATCGTGGTATTTGAGAGATTCACGCTGCGTTGCTAAGGAGATTGTTTGGATTCCGCCTTCCCCTATAAAAATTAGGTAATCAATTTTCATTAATTTTAATAATATTTATCCGTTTGGTTGTTTTGATTGCTTTTAATTCCAGAAAATACTCCTAATCAATAATAATCTAAATAGACGTTACAATTTTGTCAATCATGCCGGTATTTATAATCGGTTCTTGGAGTTCGAAAGAATCACAGTCTAGAGCTTTGGTTCCAGGTTAGTCCATTATTTCTGGGTTTTTTAAAAATTCACCCTCTTTGTTTTTGAATGATTTTTTCATGCAATTGTGATGCTTATTTGCAATTACCCAGTTTATTTTCAATTACCAAGCAAATAATCTTTTTTAAAAAAAAATTCCAGGTTCTATCTCATTTGCTCTATTTTCCAACAACATTGTTAAGGTAACTATCATTTCTTAACAGTATTATTTTTCATAGAAATCATTGTTAAGAGTATCTTGGCTTCATATATGTTGCCCCAAGCGATGAACACTTATGATAAGTCTTTAACATTTTGAGTAGGAATGTCTCTTGTATAGTGTGTAGACTACATATATTCTCAGACCCCCTCGTGTTTTAGTTGAAAATACTTTTCCCACACAGCCCAGCCGTATTTAGGTTTACCACAAATGATTCTCCAAAAAGAAATTGTCCATTTACTTGTGTAGAGTTGAAATGCTGCTTTGCGAAAGCTTTGTGGAACCCAAAGTGTGGTTGGGGATGGTGTTAGCATATGTTTTATATGGATAATACTACCACTTTGATTGAGGCAATCCTTGCGCAAAGCATTGAATATTTTGTCAATATTCAAGAACAGTAGTCAAGCCCAAGTCATTTTAAAGGCAATCTGCTGTTTGGTGGGTGTTTGGGAACTGGATTTGGTGAGTTGGTAAAAATACAATTTTTCTAGATTTTTTTTCATGTCCAGAAGTGGCTTTATACTGGGCTAGCAAACTTTGATTTCTTCCCATGTGGTAGGGTTTTGGGTTGTTGGTTAAGACCTCTCACTTTAGTGCTTTGGTAAATCCTTCAAAAGCTAGGATAAAGATTAGATGGGATATAGGACCCCTTGGGTAACGCCTGTTTCTCTTGAGAGCCTTAGTGTGGATACCATTGACAGGGATGGTATGTGTAGTTACCTTCAGCAAGTTTAAAAACCGTATCCAAATTTTGTCATATCTGAGATAATCCCATGAAATCCTATCAAAGCCTTTAGACATGTCCAAAAAACCTCTTTGTTTTTCTGAGTTGAAAAGTATTTTGTTATTATATTGCAAATAAGCATTTTAAATTTTAAATTAATATCCATTCACAGTATACTACCCCTATTTTAGTTTATTAGTGTATAGATTAAGGTTGTTTATTTCTTTCCTGTTCATGCAGAAGATAAAGGCTTGTTATTTTTTAAGGTTGCTCATATTATTAAGATAAGTTCATAGACAACACTTTGGTTAAATCATGTTTCATTGGATGCAACATTGTGTTTTCATTAATAAGGAAACAACAAAGCCAGTAGTACATGAAAGACAACAACAAACTGGAAGTTATTTTAACGGGACAACAGAGTGGGTATAAAACATGAAACAACAAAGGATTGTCAAGAACTTTTTTCCGGGCTATAAAAAGAGAGAAACTTTTAATCTGGCCCATTCTCAAAGATTGTTTACTTTTTTTCAATCTTCACACTGGCTTTTGATTTCTTGGCCAAGGGAGTTTGCATGTGTTCAAAGTCCTTTGAAACATCTTGGTTCATATTAACAGTGGCTGAAGTTGAGCTTTCACCAGTAGACTGTTTCTTAACTGCATCATTCCCGATTGAGCCCTCACACGCATTTAAGTCAAAAGTCTATGTGATGCCTTTCTTTGGGTTACTGTTGACACAGTCCTACATCAAATACTTTGTTTTCAGTTCCAACTACATACAATTAGATGAATAAAAGTGCTTATAACTGTGTGTTAGAGATGGAAGGCAAATATTATCCCAAAATCATTTTGTCATTAATAATGTTGTGAGCTGTATAGTTTTTTTCATTAAAACTGGTATGTGATGTTTTGACTTCCAACTCAAAAAGGACCGGCTTCTCAATGATAGACTTAAACACAGTAGGAATTTGAGAGAAAATACAAAATCATTTCTAAAAAAATAATTTGCTTAGGAATTTCATTGGTTTTTTACATGTTCAAGGGATGGCAACAAGAAAACCGATTACGCATATTAAAGACAATAACCAAGAATGGACGTGCAAAGTGCGGGTTTTGGAGAAGCGTAATATAAGAGATTCACAATTTAGTCCCAATAATAAGTATAGACCGTTTATCTTGCAAGATGAAGAGGTAAGTCTAATATTCTCGTAATGGTATCAAAGAATGAAACCCACTAAAGTTATTCGATTAGTTTATATGTTTATTAATTTATGTACTTTATTTAACATAGGGAACAAAAGTATTTGCCATGGCAAACAGCAGAGACATTGATCAAGTTGATCGAGTACTTGATTTGAATAAAACTTACAACATAACTAATGCGGTTGTGTTGCCAAGTAAATATAATGTGCAACCGCCATCGCCACATTACAAGTATGTTTGGATGCTCAGTAGGCAGACTTATATTGAAAAGGTCCCTGATTCAGATGAAATTGAAATATCAAACAAGCAAGAAGATACACTAACAGCATTTCATGAGTTCTACAACCTTATTGGAACTAAATGTCCCATAAGTAAGTATTATATTTCAATTTATTTATAAAGAATTACATATTTTATATATGGAAAATCATTTTTTAATGTGCTTTTATTTAGATTTCATGGCCATTGTTCTTGAAAAGATGCCCCGAGAATATATTTCAGTTAAAGGGACGGCAAAGACAGCATACGAATTCACAGTTGTTAATGAAGAGTAAGCAATTATTAGCCATAATTCATTTTAATATTTTTGTACATATAACCAACATTTGAAATGATTACCTTGACCAGAATGAAGCCAATGTTACTGACATTGTGGGAAGACTTTGCCATTTATCAAGGGAAGGAACTCATGTCTGTGTTGGATAGTGGCCTCTTCCCAATAATTTTGGGAAAGAGGGTTATTGTCAACAACTTTAATGGTAAACCATTATTTACCAACGTACATATTTTTATAATTATACTAAAAAATCATTGCTAAATGAATACGGTGTATGACAGGTGTTTCCCTATGTACTCGATCCGATTCCATCTTTGAAGTAAATCCCACGGATCCTAGATCTGAATCCCTTAAAAAATGGTGTGTGTGTGTGTGTGTGTGTATATATATATATATATATATTAAGGAAAAGAAATTTATTATTAAAAAAGAGAAAAGAAAGTACAAATGGAGGGGGCTGGCCGAACCCCAACAACAAGGCCAAAATAAAAGCCAATCTAAGGAAAAAAAAAGGCTTGATGAGAGGCAAGAAAAGAAAGGTACGGAGTACATGATAAGGGAAACCGGACAGCGAAGGGGGATGCCACCTCAGAAACTTGATACAAGAGGCTAAACTTCAAATAATAGAAGACAAGGATGTTGTATCAGCTTTAATTCCCCCTGCCATTCTGATCCCTATCCAGTTTGTGATCAAACAAAGATATGAGTGTTGGTGATATCCATCCAAAGGAAATAAGCATGATGCTGTGAAAACGAGACAGTTTCTGTCAAAACCAAGTAGGCCAGGGTACGAGCTGTCACCAACAACAATGCTTCTCCAGATCAGAGTCAAGCAAAACAGCGCAACTGGGACTCACCTTACTGCGAACTAAGAGTTATACTAGTCTAAAATTGTGAATATCATTTTTAAGCCAAATAATTGGCAGCCAATATGCTTCTTGTAACATCAAGTTACTGAACAAAGTTTTGAGATTCTCCATACTAACAAAAGGCACCCATGAGTAGACAAAGCTTCAAGATAATCAGTAATCAACAGAAATACCCATAGTAAACTAGTGCAGCATATTTGAAAGCAATTATATAAGATATAACCCAGACAGAATCTTTAATCTAATTGGAGGAGTCATTGCATAGTCTTCTTCTTCTTCTTTTGAGCCTTAGTACGCTGCCTCCCTTTCTTTTTTGTTTTAGGGGCTTGTAGAGAAAAGTCTAACTGTTTTTGACCTTTAATCGGTCGGTAGATATTATCAAGAGTACCTTCAAAATCACTAACATCAGATTCTGATAGATACCTGTCCGAAGGGAGAATGCTCTTACAAGAGGAGAGAACCTTGGCTTTACTACGTGTAACAATCTGCGAGGGAGAGAAGAGTTTCCTCCGTTTAAAGACTTTTGGTAAATCCATAGAGATTTTTGAGCATCTAGAAAGATCGATTGCTAAAGGCCTTATTTTTGACACAAAGAATGGGGCATCTTCAACATCCGAATGGTTGTACCAAATGGGTTCGTCACTCGGGGATATTCTCTCTTCAAGAGCATTAAAAAGAAGAACCAAATTTTTCTCATTTAAATGTTTGAAAGGATCTTCCTCCATAACCAAAACATT